CAGTTTCCCCTATATCAGTCTTTAAAAACCAGTAGCTTCAATCCCCGGTAAGGAATCTGTTTGTTTTCTTTAGTGCCCAAGTTTTGCATATTTTTGGGGAAAGAGCAGCATTTCCTATCAGAGTTCATAAATAACTCTGAGGTGTGTTCTGAGAACACAGAAACCGCACACAAAGCTAATTCTGGCACAAAGACCGTTTTGCAAGCAGAACTTTCTCCTAGGCAGCCACAGGTTCTCCTGCTTAGAGTCTAAACTATTGCAAGATGTTGCAAAAAAAAAAAACCCTAACCTTGGCAGCTGGGGGCCTGATCTTGACAATGCCCCCTCTGAATGGGATTGCACCATTCAAACAGCCAAAAACCAAAGTGCTGCAGGGGCTACATTACAAAACTGGCTTTTTTCGGCTACTGGAATGAGCTGCCCAAGGTGCAGGAAGGAACTTCTCCCTTTTCTCGCCTGTCTCTCCCACACCTTCCTAACAACAAACCCCATTCATTCCTCCTGCCCATTGAATTGCCCTCAGAACAGCTCTCCTCTTTGGCCATCTTTATCCAAATGTTGTTACCGTTTGATGTCTTTTATTGCCAGGTTAGGTGACTGCTGGCTGCTCTCCTTAAATGTCAGATTGCTTTCTGAGAGCTAGTGTGATGTCGTGCTTAAGAGTCTCAAGCTAGGATCTGGCAGGTCCAGGTTCGAATCCCTGCTCTGCCTTGGAAGCTCACTGGGTGACCTTGGGCCAGTCTCTCTCTCAGCCTAACCTACCTTGCAGAGCGGCCGTGAGGATAAAATGGAGGAGAGGAGAACAATGTTGTCGGCTGTTTTGGATCCTCGTTGGGGAAGTGAGCAAAGTAGAAGTAATTTGGACAATCTGTCCCTCCTCTCTGTCACTTCCATCTTGGGCAAGGACTCTTCTCACTTGAGGCTCTTGTTTGTTTTGTTTTTTAACAAGAGTTTGAAGATGGAGCCTTCGGCATGCAAACCATGTTCTCCAGGGCTTTTTTTGTAGAAAAAGCCCAGCAGTAACTCATTAGCATAATAGGCCACACCCAATAGCAGAAATCCATTAGCATATTAGGCCACACCCCTGACAGCAGCTCATTAGGCCACGTCCCCATGCCTTCCCTTGGCTTGCAGGGCACCCTGCAGCTGCGGGGAGCCTGGACAAGCTGGCCCTTGGACAAGCTGGGGGAGGCATGGGGAGGTATTTACGGTAAATGCCTCCCTGATTCTTCCCGCCTGCCTCAGAGTCGCGGGGGGGGGGGTGTCACTCTCCAGGCCTTCCCTCTGTAGCCATGCATGCAGAGGTTTTAGCTGTAGTGGGTGTGGCCAACTCTGAAGCCAGCCGGAACTCCGTTCC